AATTTATTTGTGTGCACACAAAGATCTGTCTACTGATCTGGGCTTGAATTGGGCTAAATATGCCTCTAAGACTTGTTGATTGCATATTACTGGCATTTAACACCATTTCAGTGACGTCTCAACATGGAAAAATGCCCTGTTGTATACTGACATGTATTAATTCAATGCTGATAAAGCAACACACTCAGTTTGACCAGCAAGTCAACAAATCCACATTGGATAGCAAAGGACCACATCCAAATTATAGAGAGCATTGGTGCTAACCCAGTGGAGGAATGTGAGCTATCAGAAATGAAAACGACAAAAATCTTGCACTTGTGATTTTGAAGTTATATATATATATATATACCTCAAATGATGCAGCCACTCGCCATCATACGTGTCTCCATTGGGGTAGGTGTAGACACCGTGGCCTTGTCTCAAGTCCTCGACCCAGGACCCTAACGGTGAAAAAGAGAAGACATGAAGAGTTTTGGTTTCTGAGACCCGTGTTCAGCTGGTTCTGTGTTAACTCACTAAGTTTTAAAACTGTAAAAATACATTTTATTTTACAGATATTTTGAACAAGGTCAGCTCGTGTAAAGCAGATTTCTTATACCTTCATATTTGGACCCATCTGGATAGTAGAAGGTGCCCTGTCCATGTTTCTTGTTCTGGTGATAGTGTCCTATGTATCTTGCAGCATTCTTGAAGCGATATGTCCCCTTTTTGGAGAAAACAGTCAAAGGTAAATATATGTTAGGCCTGCAAAGAAGAACAAATAATTTCACAGTTTATCAATCGATTGTTTTTTTTTATTATTTTTTTTTCAATTGACAGATTAGTTGTTTTGTCTATAAAAGGTCACAAAACGATGAGAGATGTCAATCCGTGTTTCCGAAAGGCCACAATTTTGTTTAGTTTTGTCCACAATATAAGGATAATCAGTTTGCTGTCATGGAGGAGTAAAAAATAAAAAAATAAATAAAATGTAAGAAGTCAGAAGCAGATGATTTTAACTTATTTCCTTCAAAAAAATACTCAAACCAATGAACTGATGATCAAAATGTTTTATTCATTTATCAGTTTGTCAGTTGACAACAAATTGACTGATCGTTGAAGTTTTAATATACATTTGTGCTTTTATGGGTAACGTGACATAAAGCCTTATAGAAATAAGACAAATATTGTTTTCATCACAGATTGAATATGGATCTATGAGGAAACAAAAATGTAAGTAATGAGCTCTGCTTAAATTTAAAGTGTAGATTAACCCCATGCAAAATACACACAGAAATCCACTCCTTTTCACCACATCTGAAGGATAAGAAGTAAGATTTTACTTTAGATTTTGCAATCTTAGAAGTAAGATTGTAATGGATTTGGTCTACTGGGATATTTAAAAAGTTTTTAAATTATACTTTCCATATTAGGACTGACTGGTGTGAATGTGGGGTGCAATATGCTGTACAAATCTGCTGTTTATGTCATATACACGGAGCTCGATGACTAGTATTTCTATAATTGAATGTGTAGTTGTCCTGAGGGGGTGTTGGATTAAATTATAGAGTGTACTTGAACTAATAGTAACAACATCAGAGCTAATGTTGGACTTGATCCCAACTCAGCTCTAACATCCCACCTGTCCGTGTCTTTTCCCGTTTTCGTACTCTCCCTGATAAATGTCTCCATTGGGCAGAACAGCTTTCCCAAATCCGTGCCTCTCTCCGGCTTCGTTTCTGCCCCCTTCATACTCCTGCTCAGACAGTCAGAGGGGTTCAAATGTGGAGAAAAACACCAGTCAGCTACATATGAGGCATCATATCAAACACTCTGTTTACTAGCTATTTGCTCACAGCTAATGTTAGCTTGAGCAAAACAAACAAGCCACTTGTGTCGTCTCACCCCCAGTTTATTGTCCTCATTGTCAGACATAGATGATCCTATATCCGACATGGTTCTGTGTCAGTTTCAGGACGAGTTTGTCTCAGTTTTACTTTAAGACGAAGCGGCAGAAAGGAAGAAGGATGTCCAGCCAACTCTGCGCGCTGTTGCTCGTTTACGGTTGCCTAGACGACCGCCCGTCACACGTGACCAAGGAGCAGGTGCGCGCGGTTAATCAGCCCGGCATTTTTTCCGGTAACCTGTTGTTCCCGCCTTCAAAGATTCAAAAGTAAAGTTTCAGGTTGGTGACGCCATCCAGAACACTCAGTAAGTTTTAATTTGTTTTAAAAAAGGGAGAGCCTTGTAGCGTTTTCCCAGCCAGGGTATGTGCTCCTTAAACTCAGGCGAATATCAACACGTCCTCGATTTTGACACACAGTGGGTCCTCAGTTTTCGCTCCACAGCGATATTTCCATGTAAATTGTCTATTATTTTATAAATAAACAGAGAAAGGGATATTGTGGAAGACCTTGATAGCACTGAAGCAGCCTTTAATGTCGAACAGTTAATATAATATAAGTATAACGTTCTCCTCTGTGATGCAGAAGTAAGCTTGAGGCGACCAAATCTCGCGAGGTTTTACCCTGGCCTGAGGTGGAGTTTTACAGTTTTGTGGGAAGTTTATTCTAAGGGTTCAATTATTACAGCCCTTCTAAAATATATAATTTTGCCTAATATAAAGGCATACAGGCTGGGAATCAGTAAAACAGCTGGCAATTACAACTAAAAAAAAAACAAAAATAAGAAAAAGAGCAGTATTTCTCTGCTAAAAACTGCAAAGGAGGTGGCAGAAAACAGTATTCACAGTGCCATAACAGTTATTTCTAAAGCTGTAGGTAGCAGCCAGACAACTTAAAGTTTTCAACACAAGCTATAAATTCCTAAAATCAATTTTACAACTCACAGCTAGCCAGTAGAGGACAGTAATGATGAATGTAATGTGGTTGATTCACTTAGTTCTTGTCAAAATCAAAACATGCCTCAGTGCAGAGAGTAACTTAAGTACTTGGGTTAAGTTGAGTATTTCTACTTTCTACTTTTTTTACTGTTAATTTAATTCCAATGAAACTGCTAAACTAAGTTGATGTAATAATATATTTCTCATCGTTATTATAGTTGAATAGACCTGAAATAAAGTACAAGCCAGGGATTCCCTAACATTTTTTAACAAGACACCCCATCCATGGGAATTTCTGTCAAGGTAAGCCACCCCTAAAGCTGCCAGGAAAAACTGGAAGTGAAGCACAGTCCTATAATACGGTTTTCTGAGAAAGTTCTGTCACAGAATGTTGTTTGATTCAGTCTCTTCCTGTTTCTTCCAAGTAATTTCTTTCAGAGATTTCAGTTCAGTTTAGCTGTTTTATGATTAAAACTCAAAAATACTGAAAGGTATTCAGTATGCACAGAAACTGACAATATGCATGAGTGAAAAAAACCCAATGTAGTCCATTAATGGAATTGATTTAAAATATATATTCAGTTTATCAAAACACATTACTTGAATGTACAGACCCTTTCCAAAAAATTAGAATATCATGGAAAAAATTTTTAATTTCCATAATTCCATTCAAAAAGTTAAACTTTCATAGATTATAGATTCAGGACCCACAATTTAAATTATTGCAAGTATTTATTTGTTAATTTTTACATAATTTGGGCTTCCAGCTCATAAAACCCACGAAAATAGGAATTCAAAAAATGTGAATACTGTGAAGAAATCAGCATTTACTTCTCAGTTTTTGCAGACAAAAAAAATAGGATCAAATCAATCAAAATGTGGTACTTTCAAAAAGATGTGCCAATCTTCAATGCTTGGTTGGGAATCTCTTTGCCTTAATCACTGCCTCGATGCGCCGTGGCATTAATGCAATCAGCCTGTGGCATTGCGTGGGAGTTATAGAAGCCCAGATTTCCTTGATGCTTGCTGTCAGCTCTTCTTTGTTTTTGGGTCTGGTGCCCCTCATTTTCCTCTTGATAATACCCCATAGATTCGCAATGGGGTTTAGGTGCGGCAAATTGGCTGGCCAGTCAAGCACTGTGATGGCATGGGCATCAAACCAGGTCCTGGTGCTTCTGGTGGTATGGACAGGGACCAGGTCCTGCTGGAATTTTTCCATGATATTCTAATTTTTTGGCAAGGGTCTGTATGTCACAATAGTAATCAATGAGCTTTAGCTTAGACAGGAACAATTGTTAACGTGTGTCCATCAAATTATATCAAAGTGCATCTCTGACAGATAATAGACTGGGTGACCTCTGCTTAACAGCCCTTTATTTAGACAACTTGAACTTGACTTGACATTAACTCATAAGCCATGAGATTTTGCCATCTGTTGCATTAAAGATTAGAATTAACTCTAGTTGCAATCCAACCCATTCAGCTGGGCCCTTTGAGACTGAGAACGAGGTGATAGTCAAAATGTCTGAAGCACTTATCCAATCAATAGCACATGCCAGACATAAAAAAGGCAAATGAAAGGCAGTTTGTGGCTGCAGTGATAATCCGCACCGCATCATTGTCCTCACGCTGACTATCATTGTCCCTTTGAGGACAGGCCCTAAGAATATCTCACTCCTGATTAATTCCCTAAAGCAGTCCATATTTAAGATAGAGGCAGCGTAAGCCACAAGTTCATTGGCTTCTTGTTATGATTTAATGCCCTTCTTGTCAGTTTACAGTCATCTAATCTGCCTCCCGTGACACAGACAGGAGATTTAAAATTAAGTGACAGTTTGGTTTGAAGACCTTAGATGACTTCATGTTGCGGAGCTGTTTACTCATATTGATGTCCTGTCACCTTGTATATGTAATGATGGTCTGGTGGTGTGTATGAGGGCATGTTTTTGTCAGAACCATTAAGCAAAGCTGTTCATAAAGAAATGAGAATATGACTGTGCATCGCTGAGGTTGAACACAACAAACTATAACAGATGCAGTTAAGAGATTGTCCCTGCGACTTTTTATTATGTTTTTGTTATTATATAACTCACCAAAAACAGATCATACAAATATTGTTTGCTGTGTTTAAAGTTTTCATGGGTAATCTAAGTTATCTAAGATAATTGCTATCAGTCTTATATTTGTGCCTTATATACACAACCAGGACATGATTAGCCTAGCTTAGCATAAAGACTAGAAGTAGGGGGAAACAGCTTAGGGGTTGACTGATTATTGGCCTGGTTGATTATCAGATCAAACATTCAGCATTTTTCTGATCAATGTTCTTATTTTTTCAATGTATTCCTAAATAAATATACTGGTTTTACATTGTGCTGCTTTGGATACAATGCAGATGCTGCTCTCTACCTGTAGTCACACTGTGGTATCAAGAAGGTCGCATACACTGCTCTGTCTGACTGGTTACACATCACAAGTAATAGCCAATCAACACTTAAGGGTATATGTTGAAAAGTTTTCTTTTAAGTAAATATATTACATGTAAAAAGTGAATGAACAAGGTGTTTTAATTAGGTTTTGTTTAGGAGTTTGTGTTGTTCTCAATATTAATGCTAAGATTTTCATTTTAACTGAAAATATATACCAGTTTCAAATATTGGTTGTTGGTTTACTTGATTGCTAATAAACAATATCAATATTAGCCCTGACAAAACCAAACCAGTGACGCTCTAAACGGAGAGCATGGCACAAGTCAAAGACAAAAAGTGTACATCTAATGCTATTAAATGTGTGTCATTGTGGTTCTAAAAAGAATTCCATGCTGTACGTTAATTTTTTTTATTTTTTTTTATTTTTGTATGTAACTCTACCATAAAATCCAAAGGTAAGCATATGTTATTTTGAATATCTGGACAGATCTGTGCTAGCTGTTTCCCTGTGCTTCCAGTCTTTATGCTAAGCTAGGCTAACCATGTCCTGACCATTGACTGTATGCAAAAGATGGATGTAACCAGCAGGGGGCGATGTCTCTGGTAGTAAGAAGAAGTAAGATTGTATAGAAGTCTATACTAAAATGACCCTATGTCTTCTTTGATCTGTTACCTCAGTAAACATTATCCTGATAAGCATAAGGTCTCAATTGCTAGCTTTAAGACTCCTACAATATAGTAAGATGTTATTTTTTAAATTCATAGTCCCATTTAGAGGAAATATAAGATAAAGCAGGGTATGTTTTGTGATTGACAGATCTGTACTGTATCACAGTGGATAGCGTCTGCTTATTCTTGGTCCAATCTGCCTTGTTCTGTCCAGTTTCAAAAAGCTAAGGGCCAAATGACAAACTTGAGACTTCAAAACAGTAGTCTACAAACCAGTGGGTGATGTCATGGTTGCTACGGCCTCTGAACGGAAGTGAACGGGCATATTTTCCAAAACACTGACCCGTTTCTTTAAATTAATCATATAATATATAATTATTATTGTATATATAAGTGCTATTTGAAACACTCATCTTCTTTTTTCATTGCCATTGTTCATAAACAATGTTCTCATGTTATAGCAACCTCTCTTTGTGCTAGTCTTGTGTTTCATAATATTATAAGTCGTGATTATTTTGTGTCTGTCCTCAAGTGTCCCTCAGCTGATTCTGTGGGAGACGATGGCAGGAGAAGAGAGAGGACTCCAAATCTCTGTCACGACCATTAGTCCACTGTAATCTCTAAAGCCGTCCCAAAAGGATCCTGGAGGAATTTCTATGGAGGGATTCATCAGCTATGCCTTTATTTATAATCTGTCATGGCAATAACAAGTGTCACGATGCACCTTTTACTGTATCTTTTTCAAAACAGTGAGCCTTGGAGACAGGACTGTTAGATATAATTTTAAACTGATATGTTTACACACAATTACTTTACCATATAAAAATGTTAAAATGACTTCCACTCAACCTTGCCCCCTGCCCCTTGTGGTATTAGCCAAAATCCTACCACGACACAGTTAATTGGTTTGACACATTTTCTACAAAAATAAATGAAAAGTCTCTGATTCCAGCTTTCCTAAAATTGAACTTTGCTGGTTTCTTTACCCCTCCTACATATTATAAATACATATTAATATATAATTCCTGCAAAGAAAACATGCAGGTAAGACCCCATCTTGAACTTAAAATCGTGGACAAAACAAGACATGCAAGAACATCGACTTGGACTATGAAATATGTCGATTAGTGTTTCCCAGACTAAACAACGAATTGATTTTGGAAGTAATTGACAATTGAAATAATATTTGCAGTCCTAGTTTTGGATGTTCTAATGAAAAAAGCCAAAACTAAATAACGTGGAAAACATTTCACAAGTAAAATGTCACAGTGTATCAGAGTAAGTAATCTTTCTCTTAAGCTAACATATAGTTGCTGTCAATGCTGATGTACACCTGTATGTATCCACTATCAATACAAGTTAACTTTCTACCAGGAAAGCTTTGCTAGTTATAAGGTGCGGGAAAAATGTTTTACATTTTTGGTAAAGAAATACATACATACACTATGTACGCTGAAAATGATATTAACAGTCAACTGGTTCTGATTATATTATTGAGCCATTTACATTTATTAAAAGTAACTAAAGTGGTGTAGCTTAAAATGTAAAAAAGCAAATTATTTTCATGAAAATGTAAATAAAAACAGACTTAGAAAACCTTACCTAATGTATCGTTAGTCATTATTATTGTTATTATTATTAGTATTATTATTATTATTATTATTAATAATAATAATAATAATAATAATAATAATAATAATAGTAGTAGTAGTAAATAAATCTCCAAATGAAAGAACAAAATATGATTGTAGAAATTTTTCACTTTGTTTCTAAAAGAATATACTCAGAAATCACTGGTAAATATAATCTTTTAGAAATATTAGTGTTATATCAACTACAAATTTGCATGAAAAAACAAATTTTTGTCCTCTATCATAGACATACATGGATACATATCTTTTTAACCCGATCAATCCATACAGAGACGTGTTAGAACAATTTATTGGAGAAATCTAATGCAGTACCAAGTTTCTCACATGATATAGTAAACAAATACTTTTGGAATAAAACGGTGTAAGGCTTGCTGTTTCCCGTTCCTTCAGTTCATGCTAGGCTAAAATAAACACATGCACTATTATCACAAAGCCATGAGGTTGATGCTGATCTTCTCAGCTCATTGACCAAAGCAAGGAAGGATGCTTCTTCCTTCTGTACATATATTGATTTTTGTATGATTTCTTTCTTTGTATTTCAATGAGTCTCATATAACTTTTCGCATTAGGTCTAATTATTACAGCAGTAGCCTTTATGCTTGTGTTTAATAGCCTGAGAGCCACCAACCACTACTCACTTCTACATGTACACATTAGGTCTTCAATAGCTAGTTTACACTCCAGATGCATCCTTTAAGTTATGTCTCATTATAATCTTGCAAGCTCAGTGCCCAAGATGCTAAACAGATGCTTAAAACCTTTCAGCATCTATGTGAGCACCGTATCTCTGACAGAGGTCACACTCTTTTGGCATTATTCTTTTCTTGAGCCGCAGTTGCTCCCCTCCACGGATTTATAACAAAAGCTCAGCAACATCTCTAGGATATCACATGCCAAACTAATCGCTTCTCTCCACCCACATTCACTGCGGGCTTTGACCTAAATATAGGTGTTTGCTGTCTCTCCTAATGCACCTTATAAAAGCAGTAAGTGTCAAAGCTGTCCACCATTTTTCATTGTTGCGTGGCTGTGGCAGATACTGACATACTGGATTGGATTTCATCTGGTTTCTGATTGTGGTGTCTCTAGGTGGAGGACACGTAAGCAGAGGCAGACAGAGGTAGGAATTGGTATTGATCAGGATGACTGATATCAGACCTACAGTTAATAGGATCACTGTTCTAACATCTAACCCTGGACCTTTCAGTCCCCTCTGGGGTGTTTGTTTCAGAGATGAGTTCAGACGCTGACATGGCTGTGTTTGGGGAAGCTGCCCCGTACCTGAGGAGACCTGAACGAGACAGAATTGAAGCCCAAAATAGGCCTTTCGATGCCAAAACGGCAGTGTTTGTGGCGGATCCAAAGGAGCTGTTTGTTAAGGGCTCTCTGCAAAACAAAGACGGTGGCAAAGCGACTGTTAAAACTCAATCAGGACAGGTACATCAGCTGTGAACTGATTTTATTTATATAAATTTAAAGGCCAGACATTTTGTTTAGGGATAATTGGATCAACTTATATTTTAAAATCTGCTCTGAAATCCAGTTTGTAGTCCTGAATGCCATGCCATGCTGCCGCTGTCCACATTGTTGTTCTGATGAAGGACACATCTGTCTTCACCATCACAGGTTGTAACAGTGAAGGATGACGAAGTCTTCCCCATGAACCCACCCAAGTTTGACAAGATCGAGGATATGGCCATGATGACCCACCTCAATGAGGCCGCCGTGCTGTATAACCTCAAAGAGCGTTACGCAGCGTGGATGATCTATGTGAGTAATGCAGCATTTAGTTAATGGTGGTCATTCCCACACAATGCCACAGAATCTGCTGCTGCTCAATGACATCATGCAGAGCAACCAGAAGGGCAGTCAGCTGGTGATGTATGTGCTTGAGAACGCATTATCTTCTCTGCTTGACCAAGTCAGATGGCAGGAGCTACTTTTCATGTAGTTTAAAGGTCAAAGATCAAGTTGAGAGATTCAGTTACAGGAGACTGTATCCGTAAATCTAGCTTTAAATCCATTTTCGTACAAGTGAGACTAATCTCAAGAAGGTACCCTATCCAAGCAGCTACTGCACATCATTTTGCATCTCAGTAAACAATCATAAGTGATCTGCAGATTAAAAAACATCTAATATTCACAGATAAATTCAGGCTTAGTTGACAGAACAGTTGACATTATTTGGTTGTTTTTAACAGGCATCAGTTGATTCAAAAGTGTAATAATGATATTATTTAAATCTGTTGCAGATTTTAGTTACACAGTAACATATGATGCAATTTGCCTAGAAGACACTTCAACCAAATTTAGCCTAATGTTGCCCGAGATTGTCAGTGGTGAATTTAGCCATTACATCACTCAAATGAAGCGCAAGGCAATAATTGACTGTATGAATCACAGGCTAAAATGATCTATAAACCTGACTCATATACACTAACTCATACTGGTTACTTTATTGTCGTCGGCTCCTCTCCAAACTACTTCTGCTAAATTTCGCAAACAGCAGTTTACTCATCATCCATCCTGTCACGTAGTGCCGTTCTTCTCTGTTATGAACATCAATGTCCTCAGTACAGCTGTTCTGTCAGCAGCATATACTGAGGTGCTAGAAGAACAGCAGCCAGCTAAACTTATTTCACAAGACTGACGAATAAAAAAAAAATTATGCATAGCCGATGGCGTGTCTTGTATCGATACAGCTAATAGGTTCGTATTGACAGCAGGAGATTTGTATGTTTTGAATGGCTGGCTGTAATATTATGTTTCATTAATTGTGCTGGAGACGGATAAAACATGCTGTCATTGAACTGTAGAGTGCCCAGCAGATGTTACATGATGTGTTGTGGTTACTATAACCATGCCAGCATATGGATCATACTTTTTACGAGGTATGTTACCCGGTCAGAGTTAGAATCTTCCTCACCTACCAGATAGCTGCTTACTGGGCTGAACCACTGCTACGTGAGTGAGGCCAAGACAAGTTCTTAAGTGACCCTGAATGTTGTAGCGGCTAGTTGGGTTGGTGGGATGATTGTTACAGTCAGGCTACAGAAATCAGGGATAGCACTGAGGGTGAGGAGTTAGTTATTTTTTTGGCCTTTGTGCCTTTATTTGACAGTGACAGGAAAGTGGGGGAGAAGAATGGGGGGAGGACATGTGGGAAAGGGCCGTGAGCGGGATTCGAACTCATGACCTCCACATCAGGACTGTAGCCCTGTACATGGGACGCTCAACCCGGTGAGCTATAGCGGCGCCCGAGGAGTTAGTTATTAAACAAAGGGCGACCCAATCACTCATTTGGCTCCACATCTGCAGACTATTACAAGTCTGCTGTCTTGGAAGTCCTCAAATCATCACCTAAGCAACTAACAATTTGCTTTCTTTTCATTGTAGACCTACTCTGGCCTGTTCTGTGTCACTGTGAACCCTTACAAGTGGCTCCCAGTGTACAACCAAGAGGTCGTGCTAGGCTACAGGGGCAAAAAGCGCCAGGAGGCTCCACCACACATCTTCTCCATCTCTGACAACGCCTATCAGTCAATGCTCACTGGTAAGAGGCGTCTGAAAAAGCTGTCAGTCAGTTTGGTATCATGTTCTGAGACAAAGCATTTTGTGCTTCTAATGTGACTGTTGTTTGTTCTAGATCGAGAAAACCAGTCCATCCTTATCACGTAAGCTGCATTTAGAGGCAGAAACTTCAGCCTGTCTTTGATACATATTAATAAAGATGAACATAAACTTTTCTGTTCTGCGTTTCACTGGTGTGCAGTGGAGAATCTGGTGCAGGAAAGACTGTCAACACCAAGCGTGTTATCCAGTACTTTGCGACAATCGCAGGATCTGGGGACAGAAAAAAAGATGCTGCTACCAGTGGAAAATTACAGGTAACATAATAGTGTATGTATTTTCTTAGCCAAGAGGTTGTTGATTCAGTTCCTTATGTGGAATTTTAATCCTTCACTTTGTACATTGTGTTGCTGTAGGGGAATCTGGAAGACCAAATCATCTCTGCTAACCCCTTACTTGAGGCTTTTGGAAACGCCAAGACTGTCAGAAATGATAACTCGTCACGTTTTGTGAGTTAAGACATAAAGACTTTGTTAATACCCATAACTGATTTATCTTTTTTTTTTTTAAATTCCAGATGGATAAATATTTTTTTTCTTTCAGGGCAAATTCATCAGAATCCACTTTGGAACCACAGGCAAACTGGCTTCTGCTGATATTGAAACTTGTGAGTTTGAATATAAAAGAGATTTAAAACATTTGCTGTTAGTTCTTTGTCAAAATAAATCTCTTTTCTTTTTTGGTAGATTTGTTGGAAAAATCCAGAGTAACGTTTCAGCTGGCTGCAGAGAGGAGTTACCACATTTTCTACCAGATCATGTCCAACAAGAAGCCTGAGCTCATAGGTAATGTTACTGGGAGGGATGTGATATGCACAGTGTTCGTACGCTGCAAGGCCCTAGTTTGACAGCACCTGATTCTCCTTCCAGAGACTCTCCTCATCACCACCAACCCCTTTGACTTCCCATTTGTCAGCCAGGGGGAGATCAGTGTGGCCAGTATTGATGACAGTGAGGAACTGATGGCCACTGATGTAAGTCCAATTTACAGTTTTTCTTCTTTTCCATCACTGCCAACAATGCACTATAATACCAGCTGTGTTTTGATGTGCTTTCAGAGCGCTATTGACACCCTGGGTTTCACTGGAGAGGAGAGGATTGGCATCTACAAGCTAACAGGTGCTGTGATGCATTATGGGAATATGAAGTTCAAGCAGAAGCAGAGAGAGGAGCAGGCAGAGCCAGACGGGACAGAGGGTGATTGTTATTCATGATATTCTTTCTTAATCTTTTAATTTTTTTCTTATCACTTTATGGTGATTGTCTTTTTGTTTTGGTGTATGTAAATATCATGTTAATCTTTTAAACTTTTTATCTGCTTTTTTTTTTTTTTTTTTTTAATCACACTTTGCTTTATATTATCTCTCTCTTTTTTAAAAATCTTTTTCTTTGATCAGTGGCTGACAAAGCAGCTTACCTGATGGGTCTGAACTCTGCAGACCTGCTGAAAGCATTGTGTTACCCGAGAGTGAAGGTTGGGAATGAGTACGTGACCAAAGGGCAGACGGTTCAGCAGGTACATGTGTTTCCTCTGCAGCCCAGTGACACATTGTAATGTTTATAATAAACCTCACAGGTTTGAATGCACACATACAAGAGTTTATGTAAAAGCTGGAGTAGCCAGTGCTTCTGATTCCATAATAACCTTTTAGCATCTTGCAATACTGCATGTCTGAGGGAAAACTAGACTTCTGCCTCTCCTGTTGGCTCCATTTTCAGGCCTTAGAAAGTCCTTGTTGGGAGAAGGATGTAGTGGTACCATCGATTACAGAACAGACTTGTACTCAGGACAGCAGGGTTTATTTCCCAGTATGAAGCCACAAGTAATTATTACCTTTTGGGTGAACATTTTTGCACATTTGAAGCATGTGCATATGCTATGCTTGTCTAGTGGAGGTGTCAGACTGAGACGGGACAGAGAAGAACCACAGGAGGAGGCCTGTCTTTCAAATTCTGGCAGTTTTTTTTATTTTTTATCTTCTTTTTTTGTGTTTCCAGATTTCTGCCTTCTGCAGTTTTAATACTGCAACGGTGGGAAAGCATCATATCTTTTATTTTGAAAAAAGCAGCTGAGATAGCCTTAAAGCTACTTCACATATTCTGTGTTATATTAAAACCAGGTTCACACATTTTCACATCACATTATTACACTGATTACATGCTGATTTATTTTCATTTTCTTCTCTGGCCACAAAGGCATCTCTTTCTGATGTGTACTACTACCCCAGTTTGGACAGCTCTACTCATTCAAGAGTTTTTCTTTATTTATTCATTTTTAAATGTCCTACAGTGTATAGCAAAGTTGAAAACATCAAAACTACGAAATGACATGTATGGTTCCTTAAAGCTACTACTTTTTTAATTAATGCCGTCCTTACACATGATGGACGATACGTTAACCAGCTTCAGGAAGTTGTTAACAGGGGAGCTTTGTCAAAAGTTAATAGGTGGGATCTCATGCCTTCTCCTTAAATTTTGAGTTTTTATTAAGTCTATCAGGTGTGTTGTGCTGATGTTGTGCTTATATACAGCACATAGCCATATTAAACTACTGTGGTAATTCATGTTATAGCAGGAACAATTCAGCTACGTAAAGAAAAACACCAGTCCATCATTACTGAAGACATGAATGTCAGTCAGCTCAGAACATTTCAAAACTTCAACAGTTCAAACGCTGTGATAAAACCGGCTCTCCTGAGGTTCCAGGAAAGGAGCACAGAGTGTACAAGGCTGTTATCAAAGCACAAGACGGCATCCTTGAGGAATCTGAAATTTGAATTTGCTAATACTTTTTTGCTTCCTACATAAATCCAAATGTTTTAGTTTTTGACGTTTACAATTTTGTTATACAGTGTAGAAAATAGGGAGAAAAAAATCTGAGTGTGTCCAAACCTTTGACTGGCACTGCTTGTGTAATGTGGAAAATTTAAGCCATTTTTAAAAAATTGTTTTGTTTTTATAGCATGAAAATTCAGTTCACTTTAAAACCAGATGTGCAGCACCAAGCAGCTTTTTCAGCCTAAAAGCTCCATTATTTTAATAGTACACTTTCTGCCTCCTACCAGATGGCTGACAGACAAAAATGAGTGAAAGCCTGTGAGATAAGTTGAACTTCTAGAAGCTACAGAGCCAATTATGTCAGTCTGATAAACAATAATCTTGCTCTGTGTCTGCTGTAGGATATTGTTTCCCAGTGTTTTTACCGTGATAGCTTTATGAGGAGGATATTATATAACATTTGTTGTTGAGTTCTTTTGCTCCAGAACCACCCAAAAGATTTCATAGCACCTAAAAAAATAATAAATCCAACATTTTGTATCCCTCAAAGTGTGATCTCCTTGATCTGTCTGGTTCTCACTGCCACATGTCATTATGCAGGTCTACAACTCTATTGGTGCTTTGGCCAAATCAGTCTATGAGAAGATGTTTCTGTGGATGGTCCTCCGTATTAATCAGATGCTGGACACCAAGCAACCCAGACAGTTTTTTATCGGAGTCCTGGACATTGCTGGGTTTGAAATTTTTGATGTAAGGTTGCATTACTCAGTGTGTCTGCTTTAATTTAGTGACAATCTGATCATGCTGTGGTATAAATTGTGTTGCAGTATAACAGTCTGGAACAGCTCTGTATCAATTTCACCAACGAGAAACTGCAACAGTTTTTCAACCATCACATGTTTGTATTGGAGCAAGAGGAGTATAAGAAGGAAGGCATTGAGTGGGAGTTCATTGACTTTGGGATGGACCTGGCTGCCTGTATAGAGCTCATCGAAAAGGTTAGTTTATGCAAATGTGATCTTATGCAAAGGTACAGTAACACATTACTGTGATGAAGTGGGATTCTCTGACCCTGTCTCCAACAGCCAATGGGCATCTTTTCCATCCTTGAGGAGGAGTGCATGTTCCCTAAAGCCTCAGACACCACCTTCAAAAACAAGTTGTATGACCAGCATCTTGGAAAATCCAGTAACTTTCAGAAGCCCAAGCCTGTCAAAGGCAAGGCTGAAGCTCACTTCTCCTTGGTGCACTATGCTGGCACGGTGGACTACAGCATTACAGGCTGGTTGGACAAAAACAAGGACCCACTGAACGAGACCGTCGTCCAGCTCTACCAGAAAGCCAGCCTGAAGTTACTGGCATTCCTCTATTCTAACTATGCTTCATCTGACGGTAGAACTGGGTCATTCTAAACAGTTTATTTAATTTAAACATCTTACATTTCAACCTTGAAATACAAATAAGAATCTTTTGTCATTTAGAGTCCACTGGTGGAGGAAGTGGTGGAACCGGTGTTGCTGCTAAGAAAGCAGCAAAGAAGAAGGGCTCGTCCTTCCAGACTGTGTCAGCCCTCTTCAGGGTAAACCACCGCCGGATGGTCAAAAGTTTGTAGGAGTCATTCTGACAGAAATAATATTTGATCTTGTGATATTGATGCTGTTCCTCTCTAACAGGAGAATCTGGGGAAGCTAATGACCAACCTGAGGAGCACCCATCCTCACTTTGTGAGGTGCCTGATTCCAAATGAAACTAAAACGCCAGGTACTGCAGTGCTGCTGTATTACAAACAGTTCTTAGACTATTTAAAGGTAAAGTCAGCGATTCTAGACCAGTACAGTTTATGTCAAATTCACTGAATATGTCCTCACAGTCTGCTAGCTGGGTGTGCATGAAGGAAAATCCAGTGTTCCCTGGTTCTGTAAACAAACCAAGTGAGTCGAACCGAACCACACAACACTATTCCAGGATGTACAGTGTGTGTTGGAGCGTGTGCATGTTATGTGATCATGGCGTAGCAGCAGGAGGGGAGATGGATGATAGAGGGACAGGATAGGATGGTAATATCAACAATCTTGCTCCAGAACTCTCCACAGATTGTACCGTTGAATGGTTTTGTATTCTGACAGCTTGACTACACTGTGCTTCTTTTAGGGATTATGGAGCATCATCTGGTTATCCATCAGCTGCGCTGTAACGGTGTGCTGGAAGGAATCAGGATCTGCAGGAAGGGCTTCCCCAGTAGGATCCAGTATGGGGATTTCAAGCAAAGGTAAGAAGCAAAGGTTTTTTTTTTGTTTTTTTTTTTGAGAATATCTTAAAACTCTTTTCTAACAAGAGTTTCTCTTGTATAGGTACAAAGTACTGAATGCTAGCGTGATCCCTGAAGGACAATTCATTGACAACAAGAAAGCTGCTGAGAAGCTCCTGGGCTCTATTGATGTGGATCACACGCAGTATAAGTTTGGGCACACCAAGGTAATTCATTTTGAATGTGACTAAAGACTCCAGTGTGTTTGAACTGAACTGCCAATGGAATCATTACAACATCTGAATCCCCTTTGATGTTTGGGCCTGAATTGGTTGATTCTTTTAAAACAAACTGTCTGATAGATGGAAAGACTTTGCAAAAAGATTTGTCGAAGTTGTCGAAGTAAGGCAGGTTTTATGGCCGAATAGTGAGTCAATGCTTTCAGGAGAAACTGTTGAAAAACAATTACGTCAATATTAAAAGGACAAAAGCTTCATGGAGAGTTTAGGAAATATTATGTGTAGCCATTTGGAACAGATTTAAACACTTAATGTAACGACATATCAGACTGCCTACTTGATGCCAAGCTTACTGAACTGATGTACCAAACATGTTAATACTTTGTGGTTTGTTTGTTTGTTTGGGTGTTTCTAAGTACCTTAATTTTTATTTCCTGAAGGTGTTCTTCAAAGCAGGACTCTTGGGTCTACTGGAAGAGATGAGGGATGAAAAACTGGCCTCTCTCATCACCATTACTCAAGCCTTGTGTCGTGGTTTTCTCCGAAGGAAGGATTTTCAGAAAATGATGGAGAGGAGGTAATAACAGTTAGGCTACGTCATTGGTCAATACACCAAAGACCACAGATCTGTATGTTTTTATTTCACTGAACTGAAAAACAAACTCTATCACTTTCCAGAGAGTCCATTTACATCGTCCAGTACAACATTCGCTCCTTCATGAATGTGAAACATTGGCCATGGATGAAACTCTACTTCAAGATCAAGCCACTCTTGAGGAGTGCTGAGACTGAGAAGGAGATGGCAAACATGAAGGTGGAGTTTGCCAAGTGTAAGGAGGATTTAGCCAAAGCTGAGTCTAAAAGGAAGGAACTGGAAGCCAAAATGGTTTCCCTGCTTCAGGAGAAGAACGACTTGTGTCTGCACATTCAATCTGTGAGGAGAGACAATATACATCTAGCAGTCATAAGGGGGTAAAAGTGAATGCTTAATAATGACACTTTTTTTTTTCATCAAACAGGAAAGTGAGAGTTTGGCAGATGCAGAGGAACGGTGCGAAGGCCTGATTAAGAACAAGATCTCACTGGAGGCTAAAACCAAAGAACTCAGTGAGAGACTAGAGGATGAGGAGGAGCTGAACGCTGAGCTGACCGCCAAGAAGAGGAAGCTGGAGGACGAGTGCTCTGAGCTGAAGAAAGACATCGATGACTTGGAGCTCACTCTGGCTAAAGTGGAGAAGGAAAAACATGCCACTGAAAACAAGGTGTGTTCTGGAGGGCCTTCTGAACATCACACCCACGGACTCAAGTATTTACTAATATGTCTGCTTCTATTTCCACATTCAGGTCAAGAATTTGACAGAAGAAATGTCAAGTCTTGATGATACTATTGCCAAGTTGTCGAAGGAGAAGCTGGCCCTCCAAGAGGCTCATCAGCAGACGCTGGAAGACTTGCAAGCAGAGGAAGACAAAGTCAACTCTCTGACCAAAGCAAAAATCAAGCTCGAGCAACAAGTCGATGATGTAAGCCTGTAGCCATTGGCGCTTAGAAATCATAGCATGTAGGAGTCATTAGTTTTTACTGAAAACGTGCTCTTGTGTTAGCTTGAGGGCTCTCTGGAACAAGAGAAAAAGGTCCGAATGGACGTCGAGAGGGCCAGAAGGAAGCTTGAGGGAGATCTGAAGCTGACTCAGGAGTCCATTATGGATTTAGAAAATGGCAAACAACAGCTGGAGGAACGCCTTAAAAAGTATGTACAACCACATCAGCTTCTCATCATGCGAGGGTACTCACCTCAAACAAGAGGCAAAATCTCCAATTTGAGCCATAGCTGTTTACTATAAAGCCTTTAACCACTGTCCAGTTACGCCCCAAATTGGGAGTCACATCCGTTAATTCTGGCTGAGACTGACAACTTTTTGAAGTACTGTCATAAATATAAACGCTTGTCACGTGGTTTGGTTTGCACAACAGGAAAGATTTTGAATTCAGCCAACTTGTATCCAAAATTGAGGATGAGCAGAGTGCGGCTGTACAATCTCAGAAGAAGATCAAGGAGCTTCAGGTACTTGGTGCACTCAGAGTTTAATTGAAAACCAGCATGGTCTGTTATTGATTTGGTGTTTTTTTTCTCTCCCAGGCACGTATTGAAGAGCTGGAGGAAGAGATGGAAGCAGAGCGTGTTGCCAGAGCCAAGGTGGAAAAGCAAAGGTCTGATCTCTCTAGGGAGCTCGAGGAGATCAGCGAGAGGCTGGAGGAAGCCGGGGGAGCCACCACAGCTCAGGTAGAGATGAACAAGAAGCGAGAGGCAGAGTTTCAGAAACTGAGACGAGACCTTGAAGAATCGACCCTCCACCACGAGGCCATCGCCGCAGCTTTAAGGAAGAAGCATGCTGATAGTGTGGCCGAGCTGGGAGAACAAATTGACAACCTGCAGAGAGTCAAACAGAAGCTTGAGAAGGAGAAGAGTGAGTACAAGATGGAGATTGATGACCTGTCCAGCAACGTAGAGGTCATGGTCAAGGCAAAGGTAAGATAAACCAGCATGGAGATGACACATATACACTGATGAGCCGGAGCCCTCTAAGGGTGCCCTGTGAAATCTGGCATTAGAACGTTAGGAGCAGATCCTCTCAGCACCGCAAACTGCTGGTTGGACCCACAATGGATCAGACTTGTTTATGGTTTGTCCCTCTGTGAATCATTATTGATAGTAACTCACCACTACTGACCCAGAGCAGCCCACAAACATTTCCAGTTCAGAGCTGCTCCAACCCATTTGTTTGGCCATAAACATTTTCACCTCAATCAAGGTCTTACTTCTAAACTCTTGCCTACTGCTCCCTAAATGCCAACTGCAAAATCTGATCGTTCGCTTACTGTCTAATATATCCCAGACGGTGACGTGTCACGTGTTATGGCTCTCAGTATGTACGTATTAAGTAGCATTTAGTGCCAAGGTTTTGGCATTAAAAGTAACGTGAGGATAGTGGTATCAAAAGTGATGTCATCAGTAGTCAAAATACATTTATTAGCTGTCAGACACTGCTTTGTTTTTGTTGTCTGATTGGTAAGAACATTCAAAGAACCTATGTTTTTATCAATATTTCCAGGTTAATTTTGAAAAGCTGTGCCACTCTCTGGAAGACCAACTCAGTGAATACAAGGCGAAGCATGATGAGAACACTCATCTGATCACTGAATTAAATGCTCAAAGAGCAAGACTTCAGAATGAAAATGGTAAGCAGCTCATTAATACTCTGAACCTGAAAACCCACTGCCAGGTCTAAAATGCCTGAAATCTTTACAAAAATCAACTTTCTATTGGTCCTTGAACTACTCATCTGTGATTGGCTGCTCCGTCAGAAAAGGTAACAAAACTAAGCCTAAAATTGTGATGATTTAGACTTAGTTTTTTCCATATGTATCATTTGCGTTGCATTGTACAAAATGCAATGCCGTCTGTGACTCAGCTGCCACCAAAGGCAGACAAAAATGAAGGGGCTCTGAACTGCAGGTTCACACCGAGCAGATAAGAGACTAGTAGTGAAACAAGTTGAACATGTTAGTAGCTAAATATTTATAGTATTTAGAGCAATTATTTTTCCAATGTTGTTAACATCTGTGGACACTTGGATTTGAAAAAAATATTCCTTTTTTTTTTTTTTTTTTTTAAGCATTTTTCCTAAATTAATGATCAAAGAAATTCAACTTAAGTTTTTTTTTGTGGCATATCATTGTTATACTGCATGAGAGACACATTCTCTCTACTTCTAGCTTAAAAGAGCAGTGAAACATTACAATGCCCCAAAACTGCCTGGGGTATAGAGGGTTAAGATGCTTCTGGAGTCAAGTACCTCTCTCTTGTTTTTCCTGAATTTCCTAAACCCCTGGAACAGGTGAGTTTTCTCGTCACCTTGAGGAGAAAGAAGCGGTGCTGTCTCAGATGTCGAGGGCCAAGCTTGCCTTTTCTCAGCAAATAGAAGAACTGAAGAGGCAGGTTGAGGAGGAGACAAAGGTTTGTTGCATTGTTTCACTCTGTTGAACCCATCAGTACCTGTGACATTAATACGTGAAGGTGAGTAGGTTAACTAGTGAGCTTACCTGGTTAGCCACAGGCTCAGTTTGTTCAAAGCTGAAAGCTCAGTGAGGCTAACACATCTAACTGACTAAATATGACTCAAATGCATGAACAATGTGCTTATTTGCCAATGGACAGTTAGCTTAGCATTTAGACTTAAAGCTGGTGGGAAAACCAGCACCCAGAGTTAAAAAGATTCACCTAATTATAACTTTTGATTAAACTGTAGACATACAGATAAAGTGTGTTTTACACTGAGTGACCTTCCAGGTCCACGTCTAGTTGGCCCAGTGTCACAATAAGATTCTTGTTTCTATCTGCTGCCAATCTTTCATAATGACAGAGCAACCTGCTTAAGCTTCATATTTACTGCACAGATCTTTTCATGTACCTCTCAATTAAACGTATCAGAAATGTAAAAACAACAGAGTATCAGTACAAGGTGTTTTGAGCCTTCACATACATGTGAGTGTCTTTGTGCAAAATCTAAATCTGCCTTTGTGTTAGGCGAAGAATGCCCTCGCCCATGCTCTTCAGTCTGCCCGCCATGACTGCGACCTGCTGAGGGAGCAGTTTGAGGAGGAGCAGGAGGCTAAGGCTGAGCTCCAGAGAGCACTGTCCAAGGCCAACAGTGAGGTGGCCCAGTGGAGAACCAAATATGAGACTGATGCCATCCAACGCACCGATGAACTCGAAGAGGCCAAGTGAGAGTCCATGTTCATACATAATAATGAATAAACTCAGTATCACGGCTAGTCAGGGAACCCGGAGACACAAGAAACAGACTGAAGCAGGACTCAAACCATGTTTTTTTTCACAGATGTTTCAAGAACAGAAAATTCATAGAACTAATGCAACAAACTGAGACCACGTCAAGGGTTAGGGATAATTACAAGGCAGACTGACTCCTTCACAACTAATTCACAGGTCCAAAAACAGTAGCCTTATCACAATCCTACAGAGACACAGTCAGAGAACTACACTAAGTTTTGGCAAGGCTTAAGTAGGAGGAGGTACAGGAGTGTGGTAAGAACGTAAGTTGGGGCTACAACACGTAACTGATGGGATTCAGGAGCTGATCTGGGAAACCAAAGTCCAGCTATGAGTCGGGAGTTTGAATCTGGACCCAGGCCAGACTGGGCAGTGCAAGAGGTTGGCAGAGGTGGGCAGGAGGAAGTATCTGGTGGCTGGCCAGAGGTTGAAGCCAACGGCTGGAGCTGCCAGGGCTTGAGGAGAGATCTGAGGTCCAGCTTGACTTTAGATTGGGTGAAGCAGAGGCCTGGTAGAAGCTGGTTGACTGGAGTGGGTCTGAGTATTTGTTTAGCTGAAGCAGGAGGCTGGTCAGGGAGCTTGAGGCAGAGCAAACAGATGTTAGCTAAGGTGAATGGTGGAGCTTGCGACATGAGCAACTTAAGCTGGACTAACTGTAGCAGAGGACCTGACACAGTGGAGGAAAGTGATTATCATTATTGATTCTTTCTGTCTAAATCCTTAGGAAAAAACTTGCCCAACGTTTGCAGGAGGCTGAGGAGGGCATCGAGGCTGTGAACGCCAAATGTTCGTCTTTAGAGAAGACAAAGCAGAGGCTGCAGGGGGAGGTGGAAGACCTCATGGCTGATGTAGAGAGAGCAAATGCTCAAGCAGCTGGACTGGACAAAAAGCAGAGGAGCTTTGATAAGGTAACCAAGACTTCCTGTAGTCATCTGTGCTAAAGAAATACAACCCACTGATGCCAGCAATGTAACAATCGTCACAGCAATGAAAGTCTGTTTTACTGCACTACGCCATTAATATGCCAGTGATTTTATAAGCCTTGACAATCAGTACAGTTCATTAAGGCCTTTAAAGATTCTACCTCAAACAAACCCGTATGTTGTGTTTCTTGTTTAGATTTTGTCTGAGTGGAAACAGAAGTATGAGGAGAGTCAAGCTGAGCTGGATGGTTCACAGAAAGACTCTCGCTCCCTCAGCACGGAACTGTTCAAAATGAAGAATTCTTATGAAGAAGCTTTGGAGCACCTTGAAGTCCTGAAGCGAGAGAATAAAAACCTGCAACGTATGAATATTAGGCTTTCTTTAATTCAGTGATTAGACAGCTGTTTGTACTCAGCACGTCTTAAGAAGAACATGTTTTGTTTCCATTTGACTGGTAATTGCAGAGGTGTTTTGCATTTTTATATTTGTAGAGGAAATTTCTGACCTGACCGAGCAACTTGGGGAGAATGGCAAAGCCATCCATGAGCTGGAGAAAACTAAGAAACAAGCAGATAATGAGAAGACTGAGATCCAGACTGCTTTGGAGGAAGCTGAGGTGACTGTGGGATATGAAGAAATGATGTACAGGTCAAAATAGGATTCTTCTGCACATTGTTTTGTCTGACTGTAGTATTTCACTCTTATCTGTGCTCTAGGCTTCTCTGGAACATGAAGAATCCAAAATTATGCGTATCCAGTTGGAGCTCACTCAGGTGAAAGGAGAGGTCGATCGCAGGTTAGCCGAGAAGGATGAGGAGATCGAACAGATGAAGCGCAACCATCTGCGCATTGTGGAGACGATGCAGTCCGCATTAGATGCTGAGACACGCAGCAAGAACGATGTAATGAGAATCAGGAAGAAGATGGAGACTGACCTCAATGAGATGGAGATCCAGCTGAGCCACGCCAACCGGCAGGCTGCTGAGGCCCAGAAGCAGCTGAGGAATATGCAAAGCCACCTCAAAGTAAAATATTAACAGTTGCCACGTTCAGTACAAGGATCTTTAAACCCTTATTCTGGGTAACTCATCTTACTGTCACTATTCGTTCTCTCTGCAGGAACAAACCCTTCACCTGGATGAGGTGCTGCGGAACCAGGAGGACCTGAAGGAGCAGGTGGCCATGGTGGAGCGCAGGAGCAGCCTGCTGCAGGCGGAGGTGGAGGAGCTCCGGGCTGCCCTGGAGCAGTCAGAGAGAGGCCGCAAGTTAGCTGAAGGGGAACTGGCTGATGCCTGTGAGAGAGTTGGATTGCTGCACTCTCAGGTATCCAGGAAAGAAACAAGATGTTATTATTTGCTTCATATTTACAAATAATAATCTAATATCAATAATTAAATATCTGCAGGGGGCGGATGTGGGCGCTCTATTAGTGAAGTCGGGATTTAAGTTAGTGACAGAGGTGGACCTTAAAGCAGCATGTTAACAGTGGATCAAGTGGCTTTTAGTAGTTTGTTTTGTTTAAAAACCCTAAACTTTACTGTTTAGGTTCACTCTCACAGCTCTCATCAACCGTTTTCAGCAGCAGCAGGTAGCTATTTTCAGTTAAATGCTTTGCTGAGCCACAGTTCCGGTACCTGTCCCACATTACACGGCAGATTGATTCTGACTCACCGGATGCAGGCCACCGTTATGAGCCTGCAACTGGCCACATGTTTCACACTGCCTTCTTTTCTCCTTCTGCTACCTATGTATTACCGTTTTTCAAAATCAACCTCTGGGCAGCAACTTAAATGATGAAGATTTGAACCATGCAGCAGCCCTGCTATTTTTTTTCCCGAATTAGTGAAACAGTGCTCATGTCTCTGTGTGCAAATGTTCAACCAAAGCCATTTCACCCATCACTGTTTCAGGGGGACACCGTCACCTGCAGCTCCGCCCAATACAACTGTGAATGGTTTCAAGACAATTCTGTGCTGCACATTGGTCTGGCTATGCAAGACTGCACAGCAGACAGCTCTAATGAGCCTTTTAGCCTCTTTCAGCTCACTACTTCTGTGTTACTACTCTCCAGCTGCAGTAGGCAGCTATTTTCAGCAAAATAGTTCTAAAAAAAGAAGAAAAAACAAAAAAACACAGCACACAACTTCTTCACCATCAAACAAATAACCGCCATAATTAGCAACAGAGCTACAAAAGACATGAATGTTGGACTTACATCCAACAGGTCATCAGAAAAGAGCTCAAACGTGAAGTGAAGAGATAATGAAAACAATAAATGACTATAGTAATACAATAATACATTTTATTTGAGTACAAGCCCCTTTCATGACACCCAAGGACACTTTACAAAATTATTAAAATAAAATAAGAATCAAATTACAGAAACAAAAATAAATAAATATATAGAAACAAATGATGAATGCATCTTTAAAGACATACCTGACAGTAATGGATGCCTGCCAAAGCTATAAGCTACAAAGAGTGTTATGTTCAGCAAACATGTAAAGTAAGAGCAGTGTTATTGCAGTCTGAAATGATTTTGTATTAATACATTGTCGTGTCTTGGGGAGTCGATTATATTCATTAGACTTGTGAGTGCATGCTCTTGGATATTTAGAACGTCCCCCTCTTTTATTCCCAGTTTGTTAACTGTTCATTTGGCTGCAGAACACCAGTCTGCTCAACTCCAAGAGGAAGCTGGACGCAGATGTCAGCCAGCTGCAGGGTGAAATGGAGGAAGCAATCCAAGAGGCTCGCAATGCCGAGGAGAAAGCCAAGAAGGCAATCACTGATGTAAAAGTCTTCACTCTACCTCTACTACTGATTTATGAAGTGTAATTAGTAACTTGAAAAATGACTGAATTGTCAAGCCATCTGGTCAGCTCCAGCTCAGTTGTATTCTTTAGAATTTTTATATTTGTAAATGACAAATTAAGCATCAGCTGAACTTGCTGCTGTAGGCAGCCATGATGGCAGAGGAACTGAAGAAGGAGCAGGACACCAGCAGCCACCTGGAGAGGATGAAGAAGAACCTGGAAGTTTCTGTGAAGGATCTGCAGCACCGTCTGGATGAGGCGGAGAACCTGGCGTTGAAGGGCGGCAAGAAGCAGCTCCAGAAACTGGAAACACGGGTATCACTGTCATTCATCTATCAGACTCCTGTGACTACTAACAATAACGATCACAGCCGATGTTGGATTTGTGGGGTTTTAACTTTCTGTTTAGGTTCGTGAGCTGGAGGGGGAAGTGGAGAGTGAACAGAAAAGGGCCGCCGACGCCGTCAAAGGAGTCCGCAAATACGAGAGGAGAGTCAAGGAGCTCAGCTACCAGACTGAAGAGGACAAGAAGACTGTGCTGAGACTGCAGGACCTGGTGGACAAGCTGCAGCTCAAAGTCAAGGCATACAAACGGCAGAATGAAGAAGCTGTAAGAGTTCATCAGATGAGAACGTTGATATTTTAGTAATGGTCATTCTGTAGCTTACATTCACTTTGTCTACAGGAGGAGCAGGCCAATATTCATCTTGCTAAGCTGAGGAAGGTGCAGCATGAGCTGGAAGAGGCGCAGGAGCGGGCAGACATCGCCGAGTCCCAGATCAACAAGATGAGGACTAAAAGCAGAGAGTATGGAAAGGTAGGATTTGATACAGACTACAGACTTTATTTATTTTACAGAAATTAAAAAATATATATAACCAACCTGCATACATTTTTCCAAGGTGTTTCCAATACTGAAAAAAATGTGACTCAACATACTATAGACATTTGTCTGCTCGTTTTGTAGCTAGTTTCTGTACACGTCTCCTCTGTGCTCTGTGGATACACAACCTGCAGTTCAACTGAAAAGCCACAGCTCAGATTACAGGTTACAGGACTAGAACACAAAGGTAGCCACTGCATGGATGGAAATGTTGAGTGCACATCAGTGGCTGCAGACAGTCCTGCAGGAAATTTAAAAAAAAAAAAAAAAAAAAGACTTTTAATATTTTTACTGATACGTTTCCTTTCCCTGTCTTTCCTCCCTGCCTTGTCTCAGGCTGCTGAATCAGAGTAAACCCTGCAGCGATGACTCATCCTCTAAGCAAGTTTTAAGTGCAAGTAGAAGCTCAATTAATTGAAGAAAAAAAAAAACCCTGTTTTGCTGTGACACTGTAGCAGAATAAAGTGGTGTGAAGCATAAGTTTTATTGTAGTTTTTTCCTCCTGCTCATACAGTGATCAGGCATCAAAATGTGAGTTTTCCAGCATCATCTTTGTGAATATCAGCAGAACTTTTTCTTGGTGCACCAGCAGACTGAGGTTTGTGCTGCCAATTAGGCAGCCGGAGACGTCATTTTAGCAGATAATCAGTTTCATAGAAGGACTGTGCGGTTCTGTATCAGCTCCCATCAGTGTGTGCAGTTATCGTCTAATTAGAGCAACTGTTGTCAGAGATCAGGGCGACGCCTGCTGACATTTACATCCGGAGTTAAAATAACAGTCATTCATCTACATACGACACTTAATCCTGGCATGAGAGCAGCGGATTAACCACGATTAGACCAATATAATCAAAGGAGCATGTGGACCAATCAGGGCGGCTGCAGAGGACTCATCTAATATCTGTTTAGCTGCTTCTCTCCATCCTCCAACCTGTTTAGTTTCAATCTCAGCGCCGCAGTCTTCATCATTACAGGAATTTCATTTGTCTGAGAGGAAGATTAGAAAGTCTGACATAGAGGCAGAATATTCGTCAGCATACTTAGAGTAACTCAGACTTTTAATTGGATTTATGTTTTTCTTACTGAGCTGAGCAGTTCTCATTATGTGGATTATTACAGTATTTGAATGTTTACTGCATACCAACACTGCCTCAACACAACGTGACTGATGCACTCAAATGCTTTAAAAGGCAACAGATTCTATCAGTTAACTTGATAAGACTCACTTGTTAAGTGAAAATCAGTCTAGGGGACGACCTCGTGAAGCAGGTTAACATATCAACAGTGTGCAAAGCTGCCATCAAGGCCAACGGTGACTGCCCTACAGAATCCAGAATATGAAACATTAGTCGCCTTTTTTTCTCACTAAATGATTCCATCTGAGGTTTTTCACAGGTTTGACGTCTGCAGTTTTGTTCTACATTGTACAAAACAGAACAAAAGCCATGAATGAGCAGCTTTGTTCAGGCTTTTGTGTGTTTGGGACCTTGTAGGTGCTGTTTATATTCAGGGCGCTGGTAAGACTCTCTCAATGAATTACCAGGTTTTTACTGCAGAAAATCACACTTGTCTCATTTTTGAATGGAGGGTGCAACTATCTTTCAAGGAATTATGTCATCTGTCCACTTTCCATGAACTGATAGGGTTTAGGAGGGTTTTTCTCCTGTAGGTTCTATTCAGGAGTTTGCATGTTCTCCCTGTGCAACGTGGGTTCTCTCCAGGTTCTCCAGCTTCTACCCACACAGTTCAAAAACACGTTGAGGTTAATTGGTGATTCTAAATTGTCCGTAGGTGTGAATGTGACTGTGCTTGGTTGTCTGTCTCTAAGTGTAGCCCTGTGATAGACTGGTGACCTGTCCAGGGTGTCCCCTGCCTTCGCCCTAAGTAGGCTGAGATAGGCTCCAGCCCCCCACGACCCTAATGAAGATTAAGTGGTGTATAGATAATGGATGGATGGATGGAGGTTCTATTCCTCTCCAGTCTGAGGGACACTCCAGTTCTGATCCTTTTAAACACTTGGTACATTTATTTTAAGGCTGTTTGTTTCAAAAGTGCTAATGATTTAAGGGATTTAATTATTAAGTTCACTGTAGGTTTATGTGTGCAGAGGGATTTGAATCAGCATTTAATTCACAGGCGACCCAGCTGTATAGGAACTAATTAAATGGGTTCTACTTTTACCAGCTGTAACTTTAAAGTAAGGCATCAATAAGTAGAAGAACTGGCAGAGAGCCTCCACCGAGGCCAAAGCTGTGTCTCACCATGATGTGGATCGGCAGCGTAATTTAACAGGTTGTCAAGCTGTCAAGCTGAGAAAGTAATAATTCTAACTCATTATTGTCATATGTATGAATCTGAAATAGAATATTGTGCTTATGAAGACTTTTCCTTCCTTCACATTTTGAATATTGGACTTTTTTATATACTTGTAACAGAGAGTTTCCACATGGAGGCATTGTTTTTTTTAATTTCAATCACAGATCTCAGCAGCCAACACTGGGTAAAAGAAGATGAGAACCACTGATGGTGATCACATGCACAAAACATGACATAATTTAAACAGTTAATCAAATGTGTGCACGTTTTTCTACTCATAAAATTGTTGATGTTTGAGGGAAACTTTGACTCTTGATCTGAGTGAAATCCTGCCTGTGACTCTGCATTTGATTCCAAAGTCGTGTGCAACATTTAATTTAGTAAAGACAAATATGTTATAGGCCAAAGACAGTCTGTACCAAACCCACCATCATGATAATAAAACCTATATGGGTCATTCTTCCTCAATTCACCAGATTTCAGAAAATCTTCCATCTCCAATTGGGTTGTACAAATTTGACGATGAAGGATTATCATCAAGATGACATAATCCCAAATTTTAGAGTCATAACTGTGATAGCTTTTGCCAAATTTGTGACGATACCCTAACATTGGGTGACAATTTCTTAGGAAGTATTTAAGGTACAGATTTCAAACTTGAGAACACATTTCCTCTCGATTAGAGGTGTTTAAATCCCATTTTTCCCCCCAAAGTCCCAGATTATTTTTGTTTGTTTTTCACTTTTATGGATATTTACAATGAATATTTTTATCTCAGATGCCAAACAAAGTGTATAAGTGTATATTTCTTAGCAAAAAAAAACAAAGAAAAAAAAGTTAAATTAAAACATTAGGAAGCAACATTTCCAAAATTTGTCCAGCAAAACTAAAAATACATCCCAATTTGAATTTTTCACCATGACAAGTTTGAAACATTCTCTTTCAAATGACTTCAATGATGTGGTGGTGTGACCTGTCATTCATCGGCAACTGATGTGTAATGTTGAGCAAAATAGAGATACTTACCATTTTTGAGTGTCAGTATCTCAGAGGCTATATGTGTCCTCTTCATGAAATTGGACGATGTAACACAAACATTTCTGACTTCTATTGTAAATCCTGTATGTTTTATGGGTGTAGAAAGAAGGTCTCGGGCGTTAATGTTTCCTTACAGTGAACAGGCCATAGACTCTCAGCATATGCATTGCAGTACCTGTAACGTGGGGTTTAAACATCTCTAATAGAGTGGAAATGTGTTTGAAAATTTGAAGTCTCTGCCTTCAATACTTCTTAAGATATTGTCATCCAAATTTAGGGTCTCATCACAAATTTGTCAAATTTTGCTACAAAAATTCAGATTTTTTTTTCCTAGCAAAGACTATCACAGTTATGACCCAAAAACGTGGGATTATGATTGATGATAATCCTCCATCCTCAAATTTTTTTTAACCCAATCCGACATGGTCATGCGGGAAGTTTTTCTGACATCTGGTGAACTGAGGTGGAATGACCCATATGCTAATTATGCATGAAGATAATTACAGTGTGTTGTAGGGAAAGCAGCAGCAGCAGTAGGACCGGCCTATTCAGGAACTTCAGTTAATGTTCACCTCTAACATCAGAACGGAGAAACAATGTGATCTCAGTGACTGGTTGGAACTGACAGAAACAACAAAATGACTCCAATAAACCCTAAAAGTGGATGAGCTCCAACAGCAGAAGACCACAGCAGGTTTCTGAGGCCGCCGTAGGCTCACCAGCACCGGACAGCTAACGATGAAAAAAACTGCTGCAGGAGTAATGGTGTGGAGAGGGTTTTCTTGGCTCACTTTGGGCTCTTAATACAAAGTCAGTCATGGTTGGAATGCAGCAGCCTGTCTGAGTGTTCTTACTGACCATGTGAATCCATTTTTGAGCACAATTAAGCCCTTTTCTAACAGCAGCTTTCAGCAAGATAAAGCACCACCACACAAAGTCAGAGTGGTTCCAGTTGACTTCCCTATAGTTTGTCCAGGCCCTTAAGAGACGGGAAGGGGTTAAAATCCGAGTACCTAGTGTAGTATCCAGTGAATGTGCATGTTGAAAACTGATGGCCAGTCAAGAACAATGTTTACAGTCTCTTCAGTTTCCAACAACTCCAATAACTATTTTCTTTGGTGGAATCACTGAAACACATGCGTCTTTGTCACAGAAACAATCCTGCATTTTGGTTCTTTCATAGATTTATTAGAGGTTTTCTGGTAATATGATGAAATCTGCTGGGTGAAATGATGATAATAATTCACGAATCATTTCAGCTCCAGACTGCTGCTTTGGGGAGACAATGAATGTATAAGGGGGATCTTTAGGGGCCCAAAGTCAAAGCCAACGTTGACATTCTTACAGCTCACGGGACATTATTAGTATGATGTTTCTTTTTGTACTCATTCCATATCCCTCCATTAGGCCTCAACTCGCATTTCTGCTCAGTGACCAGCAGTCAGCAGCAGAGAGCCTTTCATTTCTGGATGCGCCATCAGTCATCATTAGTCATTAGTTTGCTTCTGCTCACTTGTGTTTATGTTAAAGGTGCATTTCACAGATTTAGCCCTCTGCTCACAATGCAGATTGAACAACTTTTCCTTTCACCAGACAGAGAGGGTCCAACAGCTACCAAGAGGCCTTATAGGAAATGTACTTTTGTGTGTGTGTGTGTGTGTAGTTGAACCAGTAGAGTACAGTGAAGGTCTGGGTACCTGGACATCAGCTGCACAGCCAGAATAGATCTTTTATTCAACTATTTGTTTGTTTTTGTTGTTGCTTTTTGCCATGTGTTTATGTTTTTGATAGCGTGATTCTGTCACTTTCTGGTCCTGGTGTGATCTACAACCTCAACAGCTGGTGGTTGCTTTTGAGTTTCTTGTGTTTGCAAAGTTTGCAGAGCAGAATTTTAATGATTCTATATGAAAAAGAAAAATAGAGAATTTAGCAGCATTATAGTTCTTAATGTTTCACCGTGACTCCAGTTGGTCATCATGTTATCTGAAGGCTAAGAATAAACTAATGTGTCATAACACCAAGCAACAGCCAAATGAGGAACTCCGCACCATGTTTTTGCACAAATGTCACGTACATATCGAGGCCAGCTTCAGCTGCAGCCGCAGCCTTTATACTGGAAATGAAAAGGTTTAAAGTGAAATAATAAGACTTTATCTGAACACCTTCAGTGAGATCAACAGTTTAAACAATCATGTACAGTTATTTCACTCATTGATTTTCAGTGACTATTTCATTTTAGCTTTGTTTTAGTTACTAAATGACATTCACTGCTGTGTTTTATTACATGTGTTTGTACTTCTAACAGCATCCTGATGATGGTCATCATTACTGTGTTGATACTGTAATCAAATTCCCATATGCAGTAAAACAACTGCAAAGCCCCTCGTAAAAGAGGGAAAGGGAAATAATGGCAAGAAAATAAATAAACAGCAGAAGAAATTGTAGCAATGAAAGCAGTAAATGAAGCCATAAAAGTGAAACAAAGCATAAAATCATACAGTAAATCACCTTCATCTAAGAGGAAATAACAAGGAGCTGGAAGGCAGTGAGAGACACACCGCTGTCAAGTCAGCTACAATTAAAGTTGTCGCTTCAGCTTTGTTCTTTCAAAGTAAAATGTAAAAGTGACTGTTGCTTAGAAACTAAGTAGCAGTAAAATTAGTGTCGTTTGTAATAATCATAAAGTGGTAAGGCAGTTTTACTCAAATGGATTCAATCTGTGAAGCTGTTTTAAAATGCTTTATAAGCTCAGCGTGCAACATTCAGAACCGCTGCATGTTGCACAAGCGTCTCAGACCAAAACAAACATTCACGTCACGCACGTCTCCCCCTTCGTCTCACAGTTTATTTACAACATGAGAGACAGCAACAAACTTAATCCGGCCACAACTATTAGTCCACACTGGCTCTGTGAAATACAACGAATGGCGTGATGAGTTGTTTTCAACTCGAGTAAGGCTGTTTTCTAACAGCTTGTGTTTGTTTCGCTTCATCAAAACCACCTCGCTAATACTGTGTACGTCGCTCTTGTACCAACAAAACAGCTCTGACCTGTTGGGCCACAAACACAGGACGTCTGGTAATGTCCTGTGGTGTCTGGCAGCAGGTCCTTTGGGTCCCTGTGGGTTGTGGGGTGAGGCCGTCATGGGTCCGTCTTGTTTTGGCACATGTCATGGATGCTCAATCAGATTGGAGTCTGGGGCGTATGGAGGCCGAGTCCACACCTGGGGCACTTTGTTGTGTTTCTAGAGCCATTCTTGACAGGTTTTTGCACTGTGTTGTAGGGAAGGACATTTCTGGACCCAGAATGCAGGACACTGATTCAGAATTTTAGGGTTTTATTATAAAACAGAGTAGTTAGAGCAAAACCAGGAGGGGAATCTAAAGCAGGAGAGGTGGGGATCCAGCAAAGCATGTCAATGGATGTGGAGTGGATCTGAGAGGGTGTGTGTGACTGGGTAGGTGTTTGAAGGCAGAGTGGCAAAGAGGCGACTAGTGATGACTGGAACTACAGGTGCTGGAAAAACAGTGTGGTGAGGAGTGGACCGATGGGGTTTAGGTGTTGCAGTGAATGGATTAGTAGATGGATCTCAGGTGTGTCAGGTGATTGATTGCTGACGGTGGGAAGCAGAGGGCCGCACCCAGGTAAAGACACACAAACACACATACACAGAACAAACAAAAACAAAGCGAGACTAAAGGGAGACGCAGTAGAAACACAAGCAACAGGGAGGAGAATAACGGCACCGTCACAAGCACTACTGGCGGAGGCCGGTGCTGGTTGGGTAGGCTGTTACCACTGGCTGGTCTGTAGTGGGTGGATGGGTGGTAGGTGTCACAGTAGCATCCACGTTAATGCCACGACCCAACGTTTCCCAGCACGACATTGCAAAACAAGATGATCAGTGTTATTCACTTCACCTGGTTTTATACGCCCCATATTAAAGTCCTACTGAAGAAGTTACTGAAAGTCTCACATGTCTGCAGAACAAGCATTCTTGTTTTTGACTCACAGTACTAAAGATGGTTCACCCTATCATGCCGCTGGTTTTAACCCTGTTCTAGTTGGGCTGTTTCAGTGTCTGTAGGTTTAAATCCAACTTCACAACACAGCAGGCTCCACACTTGAACGATTTATTCAGTGACATGCTCTCAGATGTATGGAGAAAGAAAAGAAATGCGGGATCTATAGATACACTAGGGTTTTTACTAATATGGGCCTTTTTTTGTTTTTGTTGTGACTGTTACGTTAAGCACTTCCGTTTTCTATTAATTCAAATATTAAACAATTTTCCTAACAGATAGTTGGCTGTATTATCAATCAATAACTGACTAGTCATTAAAAAGTAAGCTGTTGGACATCTTTCTATTTGCCAATGAAGCTATGTTAACCACAGACGTTTACTGTTTGCCACGTAAATCTCTTGGTCACATTAGACACTCAGTTACAAAACTATCTTTCTGGAGGATTTCAGTTCATCTTCAATGGTTCTCGTTCAGTAAGTGTAATAATTAATAACTGGAATCATAAACTACTACAGTAGTCTCTGTCATGGTGCCTGTTCCTAGCTAAACCTCCCATAATACTCTCTGCCAGCCAACATGGAACCACCCGTACCCTGAGGTCACTACAATATTCAACAGTATCAAAAGTAATCTGCAATTTTTCTTCTCATCAAACAGCAAAAAGCTTCATCTGGTGGAATAACCAGGTACTACAGCTAATCCCAAATACATGTTCTGACATGCATGTCCTTTGTCTTGTGTCTCATCAGTTAGTATGTTTTTAATCGGTGTGAAAAAGTTGTACATAAGTTGTTTTTAGTCAAGAAAGAACAAGAAGTCAATACCTGAAACACTGAACTGGAATAGAAAGAAAAGAAACAGTAGCAGTATGGTTATGGTACAGCATAGAAACCCAATGTGATAAAGGCTTAAAGGCTTCATACACAGAAGGAACAATTCCTGATTACAGCTGATGATTACTGAGTAACAATTAATCATTAACATTCTTACTTCTGCAAGTAATAAACAAGGCCAGGCTTCAAGTACTCACCCCAACTACTCCCCCAACACCCTCATCCCCACTCTTACCCCAACCAGTGGAGGCAGATGGCCACCTTCCCTCAGCCTGGTTCTGTCAGAGGTTTTTTTCTGGTTCCTTCCCACTGTCACCGACTGCTTGCTCAAAGGGAATCCAAAAAGAATGTTGGATGGTTGGTCTCTCTGTTAAAAATGTGTATGTTCTCTGCCTTAAGTGCTATGAGATAACATATATCATGAATTGGTGCTGTGTAAAGAAAATCAGAAATACTTATTTTAATAAGTGTAAAACAAAAAGCAGCTGTCAGCTGTCCTTCTCAGCAGAGAGTTTGCTTGGTTGTCATAGAGATGGATCTGTTTGTGGTTTTTATTTTGAAGGCGCACCGCCCTCGCTTCCGGTTCTCCTCTGTGTCACCGTGTGTAACTTGACGGCGCTGTGAGGCGGCTGAGACGGAGCCTGCAGGCTGGAGGAGCAGAGCGGAGAGGAGCGTCCTGGCAGCAGCAGCAGCAGCAGCAGGAGGAGAGAAGAGACCTGTTCACCTTCTTCACCGCACTTTCACTTGTGCACAGCTCCGAGCAACACACTGCCACAAAGTTACCCTGAGAGGAGAGCGCAGGAGGGGAGGACCGTCACTCAACCATCACCAGCTGTGGCTCACTGACAACTTTGGCCATGTCTGGATCGTACTGCAAAAGTTTGTACCCGTTCGGCGGGGAGCAGCACCAGCAGGGACTGAGCTTCGAGGCCGGGGAGATTATTAAGGTGGTCCAGGCTCTGCCCGGAGGATGGTGGGAGGGAGAGAAGGATGGAGTCCGGGGATGGTTCCCTTCAAGTTATGTCCAGATGCTGGAGGTAAGACTGAATGTCAACTTTACGCACTGAGCTGGATGCTTTGGTAACTTTTGATGCTTTAAATGTGATGAAAACTCACTGCTTGTTTCTCTCCCACACCGTCACAGTGAGCAGGTTAAATGTTTCAGAGCAGCACTTGCAGATAAAGACAGCATTGAGTGATGCACTACTGACAAATAGTTTTCCCGTGCTGCTGTTATCAGATTAACTCCAACCTTCCCAGCAGCAGGCGGAGAGGCTGAGCGGCTGCACACTTCCTCATTCCTCACACATTCCAGTGAAGTGCTCAGGTCTCCTCTCTCTGTGCCTCAGTGCTCTCCACGGTCCGGCCGACCGACCGACCCCTCCCAGCAGCAGCCACACAACCAGCATGTTTGGCTCTTAACAGTCTGTTTTGAAGCAGGGACACCACCTAGCGCTCTCAGCTGTGCCACCACTTTTTGGTCACATCTCCGCCCCTGACTGGGAGAAGTTACAGTGCAGGAGTGACACCAGAGCAGTGAATCAGATAAAATCAGAGGGGAGGGGTCGGGATAGATGGTAGTTCAAGCGCAGCGTCTCTTATCTGCTCTCGGACCAGTTGAGGAATGGAGGTGATGGGTGGGGCAGCAGGAACTTTCGGTTTCATCCCCACCCTGCTCAGGTGTTGACCTCTGACCTCTCTACGTAGAGGTGAAACTAAAGAGGATCAGTCGCTGGTCTGGTTCCTGTCCTCAGAGTAAGCGCAACAAATCAAGATGACCCTTAAGTCTGACTGTGTCTGCGATGAACCAGAACTTCTAACAAACACCACTGAACCAGTTTCTACCTTCTAGTTTCGATGCTGGTTCTTGTGTATCTGATGGAAGCTCACCTGTGTGTTTGCTTCCTGTAAGGTGCTTATGTTTCACGGTTGTGACACTAAAAGCATGTTGTCTTGTGTAACAGAGGGGATCGCCCTCTGCATGGAAAGATTATAAGACCATGTTCACCTGAGCATAAAGGCCCCACATCCCTCCTTTCTAGTAGGAAGGCTGAAAAATCTGGCAGTGAATCTGTAATTTTTGAGTTTTTTTTTATATTGCACCACTTGTTGATCATTTTGTGCCTGATTTGGATCAATTTCTGCCTCGTTTTGTGTGTCTTTGTGATTGTTTTGCATCTTTTGGGAGCCATTTTCGTCTGTTTTCGTTGGGTCTCTTTGGAGTAAATCTCTTTTTTTTTGTTGATTTTCAGCTCTTGGTGGTCATTGTGCACCTGACTGGGATCGCTTTCCATCTTTTGTGCTACTTTTTTTCTTTTAACAGATACATTTCATCTCTTTATTGTCACTTTGTGTCTTTATGTGATTATTTTGTGTCTCTTTGTGGTCCTTTCGTGTGTCTTTGCAGCTGTTTGCATTTCTTTCTAATTTTTTTGCGCCTCTTTGAAGTAGTTTTCGATTTTTTTTGATTGTTAAGTGGTCATTTTGAGTCACTTTATTGTGACTTTGCATCTCCTGTGTCGTTTTGTGGCTGATGTCTGTCTCTTTGCATCTGTTTGCACTCATGTTTTGTCTTTTTGTGGACAGTCTGTCTCTAATTACGTCTTTTTTATGTTGTTTTATGCCTCTTTGTGGTCACCGTGTATCTGATTGCGATTGTTTTGTATCTCTTTGTGGTCATTTTGAGACTCTGTTTCATCTCATTGTAGTCTAAGTTTCTTTTGTGTTGTGGTCATTTTGCCTTCTTGCTTTTATTCTGGTTGTGATCATTTCTTGGGTCTTGTTTTGTGTCTCTTTGGATTAATTTTTGTCTCTTGATGATGTGTGGTTGTTTCGTGGTCATTTTGCATCTCTGGGACTGTTTTGCATCAATTTGGAGACATTTTGTGTGTCAGTTTTGTCTGTTTGTGGACAACAATAGACACATAAAGTCACTTCATACAGGGTTTGGACCTGTTGGCTGGACAACACATCAGCCATATTACTACAGGGAGGTATCATATGTTTCAGCTGATCAGTAACAAGACAGTGTTGTGCAAAAATATCGAGATGTAGTACATTGCAGATACATAGTTTTACCAACAGATAGCAAATTTAAAGGAAGTAGTGTTGAAATGATTAAAAAGAATCAATCAGCAGCCATTAAATCGAAAACATTTGCTGCCTTCAGCTTGTCATATGCAGGGATTTTCATCATAAAGCTGTAAATGAAATGTCTATGGATCTTGGGCGGCTGAAGATGATGGTGCTTGTACATAATAACTTGCCTGTTTTTCTATTTTACAGACCAGTTGATATATTTACTGTAGATTTTACTCCTCAAGATCCATTTACTTTTGTTTTCTGCAGCTTTAATACAGTCTTCTTCAGTGGATGGAATCTCTCTCCATTATCTAAAGACTGTCTATGTTGGCCAATGAGAAATGGCTGTACAAAAAATAATAAATATTGTAAACATCTTTTACAATTGAAACAATCAGATTAGTTTTGCCCTGATGGAAAGAACGTGTACAGGAGATGACAGAATGCATGAATATACATGAGCAGCTTTTGTCTGTAGTCCAACCACCTCAGCTGAACACTTCTTAGAGGATCCCGATGTAGCGCCAGATAAAGGCTCAGCCCTCGAGCTAGACTGTATTAACAAACGACAGCAGCTTTATCTGATGTGAGGTGAGACTTATCACGTACGCTGATTCTCCTCGGTTTCACGCAAGCCCACACGGCTCTGCGGTCTGCAGCTCACGTTGGCTGGTTTCGGTGTTGTGGGTACAAATCGAACCGCTCTGCCACCTTTCTGTTCTCGGCACTTGAGTGGAACTGTCTAAAAATAACCGGTGAAGACGAGGGAAATGACACAGCGGTGAAGTGGGGTGGGGAGAAGAGCTGCGGTCGCTCGTTGATTCGCTTCATTGGGTCAGCGTTGAACTGTCAAAGGTGGCTGCTGGTGTTCCCCGACAGTAGGAAGATGACGATTCATTCAGAGCTGCAAATTACGCTGAAATCTCATTTATTTTATTCTGTGTCATAAAACACACATAAAACAAAATTATATGAAGTGTGGCTGTTTGTTCTTTGATATTATCCAACCTTAAGGTCCTCTTCTGAGCTTCTCAAAGGCTGCTAGGTGGATCTTGAATCACGATTTTGTTGTCAAACTACTGTATCGGACCTCATTTGGACGGCCTTTATTTCTCCAGAGCGCTCGCAGGACATTTTCACCCCCTCTGAAGTATTAATAATTGCACCTGAAATTACCTTCTGTTGTCAGAAAGCTCACTGGTCCCTGCTTAATTTCAATTCGATGTATTTTAAAGTGGTTCTCAGAATTTTCTTCCATGAACAGTTTTTTCCTTTCCTCCAGTTTTTCAATTCAAACTTAGTCAAACTTATGTTTCTGCCAGTCTGATGGAGAACATATTGTTTAGGCCAATCCTAAAGAAATTAAAGCCACCAAGATGAGCTGCACCCTATAAACTCAGCCCATGTTTAGGTTTTGTCAAATTGGCACCATTAAAAATAGCCAAAAAAGCTATTAGCAGCGTCTGTTTGTAACCATGGATGTACAAACTGTCACTCCATTTATACTGAAGAAAACTTTCTGAACTTTCATTTTGTACTATTTCAAAGCAGAGGCCTGTTCTTGGTTTGTCCTGAACGTCCCGTCCTGTTGCTCTGTAATAACTTCACAAATTTAAAATCCAGTTCAGGACAACGAGTCTAATTACTTGACACCGCAGGAAATATTTCAACCATTGCGTCTCCCCTCGTAACGTTCTGTCCTGATGGGGTTTAAGACAATATTAGTCTAAAGAAAAGTGACAAGTGAATGTACGTCTGTCAGCATACGCTCCAGTATCAGTATTACAGTCTGGAATGAACGCTTCCACCGCCTGCTTTTCGTAGGATGAAATACTGAAACTGTGGCTTTCACCCAGTTCTCCGTCAGTGAGTCTGCACTGTAGGTTGGTGTGACGTTTTCTGGTGGTTCTTGGAGATGGCACAACAGAATGACTGATGTTGACACGTCTCTTATTTCCTCATTCTGGTAATTCATTTAAAACATCTGTAAGGCAATCACTCCTTCAGTTCCCTTACTTTCATAAGTGACCATAAATTCTGGCTGATGTGTGTTTATCACCAAAACAACTATTTGTGTAGCTGCCACAGTTGACAATGGAGCCGTGATCCGACTCTGCTGTCATCTTCAGCGTAATGTCTTTGTTCTACAAACAGCTGCATTGTTCTCCACATAATGAATCCTTCAGTCTGCAGGTCAGCTGGTTCTCACAGACAAACACTTGGTGCTTCTTTAAAGTTACACCAAAGAACATTTGAAGGAACAAATAGTACATTCTGTTTAGTTTATTTCAGTGAGCTGAAATCTCTTGCTGGGACAGTCCTACCTGTCTGGTATGACCACTAGCTTATGCAGGCTAATGTTAGCAAATGCCAGTGCTAGTTAATTTTGGTCTCTGACTTTTCAACTCTTCTTTGTTTGTGATTCTGTTGCATTGTGTTTTAGTTTTAGATTTATAATAGTAGCCACAGCACATATAGTCACATTTTAAAGGAACTTGGGCCTTTTTTATAGTTGTGTACATCATTCCACCACCTCTGGTACTCCCCAAAGAAACATGGAAACCTGGCGTCACTGCTAAGAGACAAGTGTTCAGAAAGTGAGATAGACATGCTAACACTCTTAGCGCATCCAAAGTCCATCCATCCATTATCTATACACCGCTTAGTCCTCACTAGGGTCATGGGGGGGCTGGAGTCTATCCCAGCTGACTCAGGGCGAAGGCAGGGACACCCTGGACAGGTCACCAGTCTATCACAGGGCTACATTTAGAGACAGCTAACCAAGTACCTATGGACAATTTGGAATCACCAATTAACCTCAACATGTTTTGAGTTGTGGGAGGAAGCCGGAAAACCCGGAGAGAACCCACACTGCACGGGGAGAACATGGAGACTCCACGCAGAAAGATCCCGGGACGCGAACCGGCGACCTTCTTGCTGCGAGGCAACAGTGCTA